AGAATACGTGGCGATACGCATGCTAACATGAGAACTGTTGTCTGTCGCGATTAACTAATCCATTCATTTTTTCGAATACGAACGTGGTTTTGAAGTTTTCACTCTGTTTCGCGCAATGTATCATGAGAAATTTGCAACATCGAAAACATTCACTTGAAGGACTACAGCATACAACAAACTGTTAACAATAACATTCCTTTCATATGTCATCAACTGAAACACAATACATAGCAATACCGATACATAATCCGATATGGCATATTAGTATCTGCATTTTGACATTATTGTTCTTATCGGAAACGTGGTTTCCTTTACTCGTTGCCGGTATGGAAGTCTTTAATACGCGATACGTTGTGTGACGAAAATATCGAATCGAGCTTTATTCAGCAAAAAAAAAACGCATGGTGTAGGTATTCTCTCAATAGTTACACTTAACTTCCCCTCATAGAACGTCTTAAAAGAGAAACAACAACCAAGGTAATGTGGGTTGAAGTTCGTTTGAATCTTTAAATGATCTTCGTCTCATTTTTCGGTCGGAAACACAATTCGATAAATCACGATAATAAGTATATACTTTTCTGATGAGACAGCCTCATCTTAATAAGAACAGTTTTACTTGTGAATTCAGCTCTTCAAAATAAATTTGAAAACAATTACGTATTTAGGTTTACTCTAGTTTCCAAATCTTTGTAATCTCAGTGACGTCATTCTACACAAAAACGAGGTCTCACAGATCAGTAGCGCTGTACAATCCTCGTAGCTCATTTGACAAAAAAATCGTTCTCTTCGATGTATACTGGCATTATCCAGAATATTTAAAAAAATTCACTTTAAGAAGATATTCTGTTATTTTATACGTAACTAAAAACAGACCTGAGAACCCAATTTGTTTGCGACGCGGGATGTAACTGCGATGCACATTTTGCTACAAGCAGTGCAGGAAAGAAGGCGAGTAAACAACTCTTTGATGTCTCCAGCGCACATGAGCAATGAGCAATGTTGCGAATAACTACGGTACAATTCCAGTAGTGTAACAACATTCATCCCAATGTAATTGGTTGAAGAGATGTGGGAACGATAGCAATTGTTTGCAGCAACATAGACTTTTAAATACTCGCCTGGGTATACCCAGGTTTTCGCCAATCATCTGTTTGATCTGAGCATATCTCAAATTTTCCGTATGCTAGAATTACACTAACTCTTTTAAATCGCTATAAATATCCTACGTCCGAATTATTCTTTTATAATATAATCCTTTTTGCAAAGAATACCAAATATTAAACGGCTTTGAGCGAGTACATAATAAATTGCTTTGTTTTGAAACAAAACCATCCGTCAAAACCAATCATCCGTACGACCGGGGTAATTATATGACCCTGTGTCAGTTTTCAATCTTTCAGCACTGTATCTTTGGAGACAGTTATTCGATGCTATATTATTTAAATTTTGATATTATATGTAATAGTATAAACAATGTGTATGAGTGCCTACCAATTATTTCTATGGCGATTTTTGATATTTTACGTAAAATAACTCAGTTGTCAGTTCTCAGACTAGCATATAGTGAATATATAATTTAATTTGTTTTGTACTGATAGTTATTATTTGTGATTTTTAAATTAATAAATAAATACATTTTCGCCTGTTCATTACAGTTATAATACTATATATTTCGTATTGCAGAACATCAAGTGTATCGACCTCAGATAGTTCAAAAGTCATCGCCGACAACTGAGAATTGTCACAAATAGATTATTTAGCAAAGATAAATAAGCATGCGAAATCGATAATTATGTATTTCACAAATAGAATACACACTTAAACACCTCATAAAATAGAGCTTACGAACGAGGCAGTGAGCGAGGCTCTTTCACCTATTAGTGTGCGAAAGGAATCTACGTAGTTCACACACAAAAACTGAGATTACTATATTCATTAACACAAGAACGAATCAATTTACCGAAAGAGAAGGAAGATATCGGAAATGTGATATCGACAACACGTTGAATTCGAGTCCGATACATGCATTAACTATCTTTAACGTTTTCGGATGGAGTGGCATTTGCACTTTGCTTCTGAAATTGGAACAGTTGAGCGAATATGCGGTGTAAATGTGTGTGTGTGGAAGAGGGGGGGGGGTATACGCTGTCCGGTCAGACCTACTATTATATCAATTTGTGAATATATACTGCAGGGTAATTGTATAAATTGTCGCTTATTGCGGGACCAATCTACTCAGCAAATTGCCCACTGTACAGCACTTACAGACATACTTGGTACGCAATGACTACCAAATGGTATATTACCATGACTACAAATTGCAGTGCATAGAAAAAAGACGAGTTTTCTTCCCCGTGGATATCACGATCTGCTCAACACTTAATAACACCCCTGCGCCTTAATCTCAAAGATCTGTATTGTTTAATAGACGCAATATTTCATCAAGTGTCATGTATGTGTAGACAATGACGTTCTACGTTTCAGGCACTAATGCGAGTAGATATATAGATACCTTAGAGCTAACAATTATATACTGATGTTGGTGATTTTTGCTTTTGCTTAGACTCACGAAAATAAATTACAGCGAGTTGCACAAATTGTTGGAGTAATCATCGAAATGCAACTCGCCTGATTGTAATGGCACCCAATTATATATAAACACAGTAACAGATTTAAAACGTTGACAAAATACAGACACGTTGCTTTTCATTCCATTTAACTCAGGGAAAACACACATCATTAATCACCATACTGAATTGTCGCTCTCTTTAATAATTCAGAATCAGGGATGTACCCGAGAAATATAATATGTGTTACGCATGCCAGGAACACTGGTCGTTTATCACATATGGCATTACAGCGGACTTCGTAAAGTGTTTTTAAAATTAACAATATTGTCGGTTTTACACTTTCCAAATTGTTTTGCGTTCGTCAAAGAAGTCATGGTTTTTACATAACTATATTACTATAGAAAGCGGATTACAAACTTGATTTTCAAGCCATATCTCATCACTGTTCTAGTATGCTTACTTCGATCATCACTCTAGATCAAACTGATTTTATTTAGTTCTCAGTTGGCAAAATTATATTTGTGAAATTTGCGTATTGGTATTTGACTGTACATTGAAGTAACTGCGGTTACTTTTTTAGTCACCATGAAGGATCTCCATTGCATTTGTATTTCTGGAGAAACATCTTTGTTTTGTTTTGTTTTATTTGACAAAATTCTAATATCCACAGTGACATGAGCTGGTGTAATTGCTGTTATGATAGAGCTTTGAATTATCTCTTTTAAATTCATTTATCAGTGTTCGGAAAAAATCAAAAAAATTTCACCCTGTAAGTTGCACTCACATTAAACAAGAAACTAATAAATTAAAAGGGTTAACTGCCCTAAAATACAACTCATAAGCATCGCCCACGCCGTCCAACCCACTGTGAATTCAATAATAATTTATAAGGTAACTTTTTCCCATGACAAAAAGGTGTCAATTCACATTATATCCATTATATTTACTGATCAACTGCCATTATGCTATAAATGAAGAGATGAATAACACTGCACAACACTCTTGTCTCATATGTGATATTTATGCTCATTTCTCGAGCGTGAAGAGTGATGTTGATATTTGATGTGATATATTGATGAGACTTAAAATTATCTCAATAATATGAGGTTATTACGAGGATACCTCAAAGTATGCACGAAGACAGTACAGTGGAAGTATCGACCGACGCACAGCGGAGGTCTATACGACGGTGTGCTGTCTGAGTGCATACCTCGAGGTATCTTCGTAATAACCTTATTATTATTATACATCTTTTCCTTTCAAGGATACTTCATGGGAATGCCGAAATTCAAAAGGTTTAGAACATAATAAGCAAACTTCTTTATGTGGAGTACGGTCAAACCTTGGTGGCAGCCATGTTTGTTTTTATTATTAAAGGACGCTTACGCATTTCCTTATATGGTAGGATAAAAAATACTCCGTAAAATACCGCAAAATTACGGCACGCTGTAACTTATGGCGTTACCGTGACAAATGTATAATAATATGACTTATTGAAACGTATCTTGTCAAACATGAACACATTTTGGATGGTTCTTGTAATAATACCATGTTTCCAAAATGAAAGAAACTGAATTAAATTGTTCATATATTGAGTATACTAACTGAAAACGTACTCAATATCTCAATATCGTTAAGGGGTGGGTGTATTTTATCATTATAATGCATTTATAACCCGAAGCGCTAACTAGAATTATGGAGCAAGAACATGTTTACTTCCACAGCGCCATAGGTATCGCTTTCCCTGAGTATGAATACAATAATATTCAGTGGTCGACTCAGCGGATGGGTGGTCTATCTATCACACAATCCCCCCTTTGTATTGTATCAGCGAACTGATAATTATGAATCGGGGAAACAATTTAACTGAGTACTTATAAAAACCTTCAAGCGACATATATTTGTAACATATTCAAGCTTAAATATTCTTTTTTGCCACATCCTTTTTTTTGAAAATTGCTGAAAGAACGGGATTTCGTACAGCATGACGACAGCGCTCGGCAAATCACGAGAATGTATTGTTTGGTATTGAAAGTATATTGTAAAGGAAGATTACTATATCATTTACTTTAATATTTAACCCTTGCAGGTATAGTGGTCGTTACAATTAATGTTACAGTCATGTATGATCGACCTGAATTACTTTTCAAAGCCCCATGTGTGGGTGGAATGACTTCGAGGCAGATTGATCGGATATAAGTGTTCTCTCAAACTTATGACACCCAAATCAGGGAGAGTTTAAGATTTCATGGGAGGGGAGGGGTGGTGGTGGATTGACAGAATATTCGCTTTTCACTCCTGGTTGTGGTTACTATTACAGCTTATTCTATTAAATGTCTAAAGCTAAACTTCAGTTAGTAAAACTGGGGGGAAATGAGAATGTAATCCACGTACAAATAAATGTAACTATTTACAGGTTACATATGTACTCGAGAGTGACTTTTTATTTGTATCATATTTGTGTGGCAGACGACAGTTCAGGACATTGTCAATGTCGTATCCCCTGACCATATGTTATGACGAGTAGAAATCCAAACCCATTGTGTAATGTCCGTACGCAATTCCGAACCCCAAATGTCACATCTTTGAAAACTAAATAAATCATAGCCAGTAGTTTTGTACGCCCTAATAACTCTGTTACACAGTTACCTAGGATAAGGATCGACCCGGGTTTGGTGTTCAATACGCAGTATGCTTGTTCATAAACCGCATACAAATACTGATTCCGATACACTTAAAAATTTTTAAAAAAATTAGATGACCGCACAAACTAAACTAATTTTGTTTTTAATTTGTTTACCTTTACCCATCTCTTTTTTGTTTATTTTCAGTCATTATTTTAGCAACACTACTAACGCATACCCGTGAAATTATGCTAACCGCATACCGTCTTGGACTAACACAAAGTGGGGATTATCTGTTTCTGACTATTGATGGCGCAAGAGCAAAATATGCGGTAAGTTCAATTGAGTCAACATGTAGTATTCACATCTGCGCCAGGCAGTATCTCAAAACTAAGTTCTAAATTGTACCAGGCTAGTCTTTGCTAATGATAATGCAGTTTTTATATTGTTAAAACATAAATCGTTGACGCAGGGAAATAACTGGCGGAGTGAAGATGGCAATGACGAGGAGTACGCTGAAGCTTTCAAAGCGCTGTTTGTTGTCGACATCGAGCAGTATGAGAATGACAGATATCATGCGTTCATGGAAGAGGTCAGAGTCCGACTTACTGAGCCGCCATGGTATTCAAATCTCACAGACGTTTCAATGGTACGTATCATTGTGTGCGAGGTATTATGATTATGTGACGTCACTGCCCGTATGTGAACGTTCGCCCCAACAATGTTAAGGATGTTAGTATATGTTTTTTGGTACCTGTTAATTCAAAATGAACTTTTTTATATTTTATAGATTCTAAAAGTATGTCTAATTATTCCATGAAACGTAAATACGCATAAATAGAACATGCTTACAGCGAGCGCAAGATATTTACATACACCCAATCTGATTAAAATCTGATGTAGTGTACGGGCTTTAATTATTTTGGCTATAAACTTATTTTAATTTAATTTTTATTATATTTGTTATTAATGCCTTTTTATTTTACTTTGATTTTGTGATTTTTTTAATTCCGCCCTGATCCGACGCCTATGTAAGTCCCGTTCAAATTTCGCCTAAGTAACAACCAATCACAGCCCCCCCTTTTATACAGGCTGTCGGTTGCTTACTTTTCAGTGTATACGGGCAATCTTTCTGTACATTATATTTTGCCCACTTGAATAAATCATTAATAGAAAATTGCTAGTATATTTTTATTTACAAAAGAAATTCCACAGCATTTTACAATTGTTTTCATTACATCGAATATTTTTTTCACTTCCAACAAATGTGTACACTTCCAGATACATCTTCGCCAGCCAATTATTATCTAGAATGGAAGCAAAAAAAAAGTAAATCGTAATGATTAGAACACTGTAAACAGCTATAGTAAACAATGCGAACTGATTTTAAATTGTTTAACGATCACCGGCCCACGGCATCGACGCAGAAAATTGGAGCAAAACAATATTTCCTGATCAATTGCGATGTGTTCCAAATAAAAAATATTTTATTCCAGTCCAAATCAGTTATTGTATAATGTACAAAATGGTGATACAATTTGATGAATATTTACAGCTACGGTTTCAATACCGTAGACGATTTTGGCCCGATCGTCAACAAAACATCACCCGTCTCCAGGGCAAGCGACTGGAAAAAGACACCGGTGTTCGGTCGAACCGGTGGAAACAAAATCGTCACTCCCAGAATAACTACGCAAAATAAACTCGAACCATTCGAGCCACAATATTAACGTCAAAATGACTTTCGTTGCATTTGACAATGATAAACTTACCGAAAAGCCGTGTTTTTCTCTTTCGCTAACGTCGGTATAATCCGCCATTTTATTTGAGTGTGTTTGCCACCTGACTCTGCCCGGTGACATCATCATGTGCGCAATAGAAGGAGGTCTGTGATTCGTTGACTAAAATCGTCGATAGTGGGTCTCGTTGAAATTTCGTTACATAGGCATCGAGTCAGATGTATGTAGGGCGGAATTAAAAAAAAAACACGAAATCAAAATCAAAGTAAAATAATAATAAAATAAAAATGCATTAATAACAAAAGTAATAACAAATTAAATTAAAATAAGTTTATAGCCAAAATAATTAAAGCCTGTACACTACATCAGATTTTAATCAGATTGAGTTTGGTTTCTGATTTTCAACAATTATTTCTATTATGTCAAGGCGCTTAGACGAAGACACTGAGATAGAGATTATTCGTCCCTTATGAGTGATCGACGACTGAGAAAGTTGGACTAACGAGGTCAACGGTTCAAAGGATTGTGCGGCATTTCTGTCGCATCGGTTGGATACGTCCCAAGATGAGTAGCGGCCTTCGTCTACTGAATGTTACATGAGAAATCGTTGGGTTTATTGAATTTTGTCTGAAGGATATTTGAAACTGGTATATAGTGAATGGGACCAGCCATTATGCGAGAAATTGAACGGGACAATCACAGCGCTAAATATACATCCATTGACAACATCTCAACAAACTACCAATCAAAAGAAATTAGATTGGTCATTTTATATTAATATTCATTCCCAGTTTAATGTTCGTATTATATTTCTTCCAAATGTTACATAGCAATTATTATTGTATTTACAAAGCAATTGAATAGTCCAACTACCCCTCGTTCCGGTGTTTTGATTAACTGTCACTTAGGCGTGTATGTAACTTTATTGCGTCTACAACGGTCATTAAAGTGTCTAGGAAAGTGCCTGGGGATGTTGCAAAGTCCCTCGGTAATTGCCTACCAGGTGCGGGAGTTAGGTGTATGTAAATATCTTGCGCCCGCTGTAACAATGGCCAAAATTAACAACCCGCATTGTTGTGATAACTAAATTTGCATATTCCCATTGTTGTGATAACTAAATTTGCATATTCCCATTGTTGTTATAACTGAATTTGCATATTTCCATGTACTATTAATAAATCACACAGTCAAGTATGACATAGTTTCCTAGTTTTCTTGACCATTTAGATTCACGCACTCTAGAGATTTCACTATCTGAATATAAAAATGAACACACTTTCCTGGTGAAAATGCAAAAAATATAAATTTAAAAGAAAATAAAGTTATCCAAAATTGCTATGACTTTTATGTTTCTCGTGTTTTATTCTACATTTTGCAATGAAACAAAAATGGTATTCTTTTAATTTTCTTCACAGTACTCATTTGAATTTTCAATATAGAATTTACTTAGTAGATTAGGTATTTGTTCCATGCTTTTAAAAAAAATTACGTCGATTGTAGATGAATAAGTAATGCTATTAACGTCAAACCCAGTAAGCAATGGTACGCGATTTCATTATTCAATGCTGTTTGCGTTATATGTAGGTTAGTAGACATTCACCGTATCTGTACGATGCAGTGTTGTTGTATGCGTGGACGCTTAGGGAAGTTCTTTCGCATGGAGAAGACCCTTATGATGGTAGAAACTTTCTAGTCAGAATGAGGGATGTAGTTTTTGAAGGTATGACTTTATATTACGTAACTGTGTTTATAGAATTTGAGATTGATATTACATGATGTTCATTCATTTCACTGGTAAATTGGTAAACACACACAGGTCATGTTTGTGAATGGTAGTATAGCTGAGCGCTCTGTCACATATAATTTGATCCTATTTCTCCCCGCCACATATTATCGTTGGAACATGGAAGTACACAATACGCAACATATTAAGTATTGTGGCATAAATATACAGTTTAATGATGAAAGAAATGAAAGTTGACATTATACATTATGCACTCTTTCTACACTCTATGTTTCACCTTATGTGGCATATACCATAACCTTTTTTTAAATCTTAATTTTACAGGTATGAGTGGTCGGGTGAGCATTGATCAGAACGGGGACCGTAATCAAGATTATGTCATGTATAGTTTTAGCAACAATGAAGCATACGAGCCCATTGCATTGTTTGATGGGTTGACATCTAAATGGAACATGATTCCAGGCAAAACTATCATCTGGCCAGGAGGGCGCACATCTCCGCCCGTCGATATTCCTCCATGTGGATTCTTCGGTGAAATGTGCATAACTGAAGATGTACTTGGTAAGTCCCATTGAAATGTAGTTGACCAATACAAGGCTGATTCTGTAGAACCTGTCGCACTGTGGGGCATCACAGTCTTAGCCACGAACAAAAATATTCTAATCAATCAATAACCGCCTTATTATACCTTCCTTTGTAGGTACACCGCTTGTTACCGGACTGGCCGCTGTATTGTTTGTTGTACTTGTTCTGTCAATATTGGCCGTCGCCTATTTGTACCGGAGATACAAGTTCGAACAGGATGTAATGAGCACTGCATGGAAAATTAGCTACAGCGATATTGTGTTCAGTAAATCACCAAGGGTGCGTACCCACATACTACCACTGTTTATCATCACTACCGTGTGTACTATCACTCTCACGTGTATAATTCAACGTATGAATAAGATTATTAATCGCATATAATTGAAGATGTTATAATCGACTGTATACATCTAGTAAATACATATTTGTCAAGTATCGAATTGAAATTCACTCACGTTCACAATATTGTAGCTTGTCATTTTGTTTGGACTTCACCTATAAGGCCGAAATATATATTACGTTTTAGTCCTTGTACGGAAGTATCGTTTCAAAAATGTCTACCAGTAAAGTTGACTCAGTCAATGAAAATGGTCAAGTTTTTACAGTGGTTGGAACTTACAAGGTTAGTATGTATCAAAACACGATCAAAATACAATGTTTAATACTTATCAATATGTGTTGTCAGAGGCGGCGGCAGCTTTTTTTTTACTGTGGGGGCGAAGATTTTATGTGAATGTAATTTTATGTGAATGAATGTCAACGCGACCTTTCTTGGGGGTCCAGGTCATGCTCCCTCAGTAAAATCTTGAAATCTAGACCCTCTGAACGCTGCTTCCTGCATTTTGGCGACCCCCCCCCCCACTGCCCCCACGGTGCCGCCGCCACTGGTTGTGTTGTTTTTCGTGTTCTTAATTTTAGATCCTAATATCTAACCAGGTTAAATTATCATTCATTCCAAATATTCATATTCATGTGTTTAATTTACGCCTTCTGGTTTGTACAACGGTCATACCTTTGTTCGCCCAAGCGCTTGTCATGAAATCAAGTTGATATTCTTACTGTAAATGCATGGATTGTCATTTCGCTATTTTCGCTAATAAGTAAAATCCGCTAAATTAAATCTACGTGACTATGTAGAATATTAATAAAACTCATTGTATCGAATACGCTCAAAATGTCAGTGAAAATAGTTTTACGGTATCACGAAAATCAACGTACATATCATACAAATGGAATATATCAGTATATAGACAAACATATTTTGTAACCACATGCTTAATATACAGTTGACATCTGATTTTTTTTATTTTTTACTGGTATTCATTTGTATAGGCAGAAAATGTTGCTGTTAGAATGATATTCAAGACTAGAATTAGCCTCGTTAGAAAACAATTGCTGGAGCTTAAAAATGTAAGTAACACGAATTTACACTTCCATGTACACGATAAGTATACGATCTTTTTATCATTGAATCTTTGTTTTAATTTTCAGATGAGAGAAATACGACATGAGAATCTGAACCCCTTTATTGGTGTGTGTATTGATAATCCGAATATCTGTATTGTCACATATTACTGCACAAAGGGTAGTTTACAAGTAAGTTAGTCATTGATGTATCAATCAATCAATCAATAAATAAATAAATAAATAAATAAATAAATCAATCAAACATGTTTATTCAACCACATTATTGTTATTTTTTATATTCTTTCATAGGATATTCTAGAAAATGATGAGATCAAACTGGATTGGATGTTCAAAATGTCATTTGCATCGGACATATCTTCGGTAGCTATATAATATATGTATAAAATCTCTCCTATCATTTTTTTCTTAAATATTCAATTTATTTATTTGTTTATTACAATAGCATGTATATTACAACTTAGATATATTATAAGCAATTACATTTTAATTCCCGTTATAGGGAATGTATTACTTACATAAAAGTGTTCTACGCACACACGGTCGTTTGAAATTGTCTAATTGTTTGGTCGATGGACGATGGGTTGTAAAGCTCAGTGATTATGGGTTGTGGAATTTTCGAGCAAATCAAGTAACTCCTGGTGTTAGAGAATATGCCGAATATCATGGTGAGCAATACGTTAATCTGCCTAGTTGCTACAATGTATTTGTCGAGTTGGATTTATTCATTGTTTGGACACTGGATGCATTAAGCATTCATATTATATCTTTCGCATTAACGTCATAAGTTACAACGTGCCGTAATTTCGAAGTATTTTACGGGGTATTTTCATCTTACCATATTAGGAAATGCGAATTCCAAATATGGAATGATTACGCACGTAATCGTCCTCTAATAATAAAAACAAACATGGCTGCCACCTGGGTTTGACCAGACTGCACACAAAGCAGTTGATTCAGTTCTAAACTTTTTGGATTTCGGCATTCTCATGATGTATCCTTGAAAGCAAAAGATGTATAATAATAAGATTATTACGAGGATACCTCAAAGTATGCACTCAGACAGTACGCCGTCGCATCGCGTCGGTCGATACTCCAACTGTACTGTCTTCGTGCATATTTTGACGTATCCATTAATAGCCTCATATTATCATAAGCGATATCTATTTTAATGACTCCACCCCAATAATGTTATAAACTAATCGATATTCATTTTGAACAACAGTTCATATTCTTGTGGCGTACATGTGGCTACTAATCATACACCATTTAAATCATAATATCGATGTACTTCACTTCATTAACATGTTATTGCTTCTAAAATTCATCAATGCTTTATAAAGACAAGTTTTGGACTGCTCCTGAGTTATTACGTCATCCAGACCCTATTGGTATTGGTACCCAGCAAGGCGATGTATACAGTTATGCGATTATTCTTCATAATATTCTTACACGAACTGAACCTTATCAGAGTTACTGCGAACTGACACCCAAAGGTAAAGCTTAGTCATCTATGTTACTCGGATGCAATTGCTGTCAAGACCTGGCTCGTTTTGCAGGTTTCCAGGAGCTACTTTTGTTTTATTTATATTTTCATTACAAATAATTATAGTATTACTCAAACACAATGATGCTAATGATCATTTTTTTCCAGAAATAATACAGAAAATTAAATCCACAAACGAACAACCATTGCGTCCAGAATTACCGACAGAATTGGTTTCCACAGAAATACGCAATCTCATAGTGAAATGCTGGGATGAAAACCCTGAATGCAGACCAGATTTTAGTTATATAAAACGCGCAATACAAAAAGAGTATCCTCACAGGTAAACGCTAATCATTGTATACACACTATATGTTGAACTTGCGTACTTCCTCTATGTCGATATTCTGAATGTATTTAAAGCGGGGAATTCGTCACCTGCGCATGCGTCAGATTGCAAAAGCTTGTAATTGTTCACAAACAAGCGTCTACCATGAGCCTTTGCGTTTTAGCGTGCGTTGTTATCATCGCTTGGGACTCAATTCCCGCGCGTGCGCAGGTGTCGACCCTCCCGTTTTAATGTTTTGCATCTTTGACTATAAAATATGTTGATGCCACGTGAGTACGAAAACCACAGCATCAGTTATGCTGCGTCGTACATACTTTACAATCAACGGAAACGTTTGGCTTAATTATAAGTTATAAGATTTGATTATATATTCTTGATCTTGAATTTGTCTCAGCGTTTTTGTGGTCATTTTAATTGGGGACGTCGAAAAGTATGGCAAACATAATTAAAATTAAATTGGTAAGAATTAAAAAAAATAATAGTTACATTTTTCTGACTGGATCTAGATCCTCTAAATAAGTATATAACCATAAAACATTCAAGCTTTGGTATCAATAAAATATCGATAATGATAATAATTTGTTTCATGTTTATTAGAAGTATCATGAACAATATGGTCGGAATGTTAGAAAAATATGCCTACAACCTGGAGGATATTGTAGCGGAAAGAACTGCCCAGTTGGTGGAAGAGAAGAGGAAAACAGACAAATTGCTTCATAGCATGCTACCAAAGTATGACCAAATCGACAAAATCGAGTTGATGTCACCTACAACAAAATAGTTTGCAACAATCGTTATGTTAATGTGTATACTTCACTGCAAATAATTAGTCTCACAGTGTATTTTAAACGTTTTTACTGTATCTCATGTCTAATAGCTATCTATCGAATGTTGATAAAATCATTTTGATCAAATCATGCATCTTCAAACTAAAATTAAGGAAAATCGTTAAAGCTGCTACTTTTTGTCGATTTCTGATTTTAGATCCGTAGCTGATGCTTTGAAGTTGGGAAAAAACGTGGAGGCTGAAAGCTATGATAATGTCACAATTTTCTTCTCGGACATTGTGGAATTCACCAAATTATCATCTTCAAGTACACCAATACAAGTATGTGGATGAGTAACGGGCATTGCATTGTGGACTACCAATGTTTTTGTGGATCGGTATTCTAATGACTCTATGTTGCAATTTGTATGAATGTATCACATGTGTATATTATTGGTTTTGTTGTTTAGTTTACTTATGGCGTTTATTTCAGATTGTGTGGTTCCTAAATGATCTGTACTCATTATTTGATAGTATCGTCGCCAAACAAGATGTGTATAAGGTAATATACAATGCGTTGAATATAGCGTTAACATGACATGAATAAACAGTTGATAACATAATCCTAAAATACTATACGTAACACTCACTATGTAACATTGCACTTTGTGCACACGTGTTATGTTTATCTGCTCCAGAATAGATATATAAATGCAGCGAGCTACAGCTATGGTTTATTATCATAATTCACATTCAAGATCGTCACGATTGGTCAGAACTCGATCACCTGCTCGTGGATATAAACCCATTTCGGCTATAAATCAAAAATTAAATACCAGCAAGGCTGATTTGTGTGTTGCGCATGTGCAGTTGTAATTGCAATAAAAAGAAATTGCATATCAAGTAGTTTATGAATTCGGTATGAAAGACACACATATATATATATATATATATATATATATATATATATATATATATATATATATATATATATATATATATATATATATATATATCAGTGTCTGTCAATATTCAGATTTAATCACCCTCAGAGGAATTGTTGATCTCAGTTTCTCATCATCAAAACTGGCTTTTGACCTCCATTTTTGTTTACCAGAGCATTACACCTATTTATTTATTTATTTATTTATTTATTTATTTATTTATTTATTTATTTATTTATTTATTTATTTATTTATTTGCTTGTGTGCAATTCTTTTCATCATATCAATAGGTAGAAACTATTGGCGATGCATATATGGTAGTTAGTGGGCTACCCATACGTAATGGAAATCGACATGCTGGTGAAATATGTACAATGGCGTTAAGTCTACTGAGTGCTACCACCACATTTACTATTAGACATATGCCAGATGAAAAATTGAAGCTACGAGTTGGAATTCATTCAGGTATGTGACGCATATTATCCGCTTTATTGCGCTAAACGGCAAATCCAAATCCAAACACAAATTTCGATTAAGGTCATTTCCATGTCACAGAAGCGACTTGTCTCAAGGTATGCAACATGTATGAAAGCTGAATTATCAATGGTTTATTGCAGGCCCATGTGTTGCTGGAGTTGTTGGACTCACAATGCCAAGATATTGCCTTTTCGGAGATACTGTAAATACTGCAGCGCGATACGAGTCCAATGGAGAAGGTATACACATATATTATTTGGAAACAATCGAATAATTCCGTGCATATGATTTCAAATCCATTGTAGCCTTATTTACAATGACGGTTTTAATACTTTTTTGTAGCGTTGCGTATCCACATCAGCAGGGAAACGACGGCAGTTTTGCGCATACTTGGCGGTTTTACAGTGGAGAAACGTGGCGCAGTATTTATGAAGGTTTGTTACATCTTCGTATATAACAATTATAAATGGTTGGTGGAAATAATCAACAAAACAATTCACACCATTGTTTGTTACATAGGAAGAACAAGACTGAATGAAATGAAATGAAATAATGTGTTGTTCAACTTTCAGGGAAAGGGAAAGCAGATCACTTATTGGTTGACTGGAAAAGAATCATTCGACGAACTACTCCCTGAAGTATATTCTGATTAGAAACATCTCGGCATCTGCTGTAGATGTGTGAATTATCCTATTTTTTTTATATTTCCACTATATATTATTTTGTATTTTTGTATGTGTTAATAAATGCATTACATTATGTTCAAGCAAAATCAGAACTCGCTAATATAATAGAATAGAAGTCTATTGAGCGTACCGCGAAGTGTTCAAACAACCGCACTTCAATTGTATTTGTCATTCTGATTATACAGATTGCTAATTTCCCTGCTTCCGAAATATAGCTGTGAGATAATTATTTCTGTATATTTTTTCTTCTCATGTCACTTGACTTTTTATTCGTGTGTGTTACTAATAGCTATAAAGACTTTTTAATTATCCTTATGCTTCTTACAGACTTGAATTCTGTATTTTATAATTATATTTTTGGGTAATTATTGTTCGTATATTGTCGTGACTTTAGTTAGTGAGTGCATGTTTTCTTTGTTATGTAAACATTTTAATTTCTTCCGAGGAGTTTCAAGCGTTCTTTAATGAATTTAAATTGTACTCCAACTCACATGTTTAAAGGCCGGTATATGTTCTGGCATACGACAATAACATAACAGCACCAAAACCTATGTTCAAACAACCAGCATATTAAGTTTATCACATCAAGTGCTGGCGCAAATTAGCATACAATTTTTGGCATAGCGCGGTCTATTCGTTTCTTGGTAAAGACAACGTTAACATATTAAAAATCGTTTCAATCGACATATTTAAAAAAAAAATCCATATTGTTGGCGTAATTCTGAAAATCATTCTCCACATCTATCAAGTCACTCGAAATGTATTATTTTTTACATTTGCGGCCTATTCCCAAATATAAAAAAATATGATATATGTTTGTAACCACAACAATCAGAACGACGTAGGCATGCCATTGAGACGATAAACATGAGACAAAACAAGTTACGGTATAGTACACCAAGGCAATAAATTCAGTCACGTGTTGATATGTTAAGATAAACAGTAATGACAATGTGTACATCTGTACGAATTGAATAACATTTGATGTGATGAATATGTATAACGAGAAACACGTGTACTGTCATTTTGTCTGACAATCTCCACATACAGGAATTAATTTAATCGTTCAGAGTCTTGACAACATTGATTTTAAAGAATATGTAATGTTAATTATCAGATATAGTAAAGCCTATTGTTGCTGTAGTGAATTGTCATTAATGTTAATTTTTTGCGAATGCATTATCTGTCAAAATGTAGAAGTATTGAAAATGAGTATATTCGGTAATAAGTTGTCAAACCTTTATACAAACGCATACAAACGTTTATATTCATTCAGTCATGACAAAGTTTTGGTTAGTTTGATTGTAACACTATAATTCATTTTTCACGGGATGGGACAGAATCTGGTCTCAGAGCGAACTATTACCGATAATTCAAAAATGAGTTAAGTAATACATAATATTTAACACGCCCTCACTCAGACTTAATCCAATATACTCAATATGGTGCGTTAGCAATAAAAACACACCAAAGGAAATTACGTACAAATGTCACCCAGTATTAACGTGGTAAACTGCAATGGTGCCCGAGTATGCATCGAATGGGATCGACCACAGACTATGGTAACACACTTGAAGGAAACAACACGCATTCTGAGTCTGCGTTTGTTTGTAGTTTCATGTTGTTGTAAAAAGGTGAGTGTACAACGTATGCATCAAATGTGCTTGACTAATAACCTAAACTAAATATCTGTTGTTAAAATTGTAATAATGTGGTCTTATAATATAATTAAACAGTGCGAATATACATCTTTGTAGTCTGTATAATTTCAATATTACATCTATAGCGAACAAAACGACATGACATATGAATCATATCAGCATTGTGACAATAAGGGCACTGTCCCAATTATAGAATAATGCCTTCTAAAAACGGTGAATAAAAATAGAATTACACGTTTCAATATTCATATTTACATTATTTGTTAAAACCGAATTCAATTTGTTTCCGATAAGACACTCATTCATTGTGTATTGTGACTCAACGACTACACAATATAAACAAAATGTTATGGGATGCATACAATACAATCACATATTTATATTATAAACATGTCAAGTGGCACGAGATTTTTAGGTCATATGCTCTTGTATTTCCCTCGCCAATTTATGCAAGTGTATGCAAGGCTCCTGTAACACGTATATAAATACGTATATAAATCAAATTATAAAAGCAAATTGTCACTCTATTTGATTATTCAAAACATTAGACTTTATGTGCAATGCGAAAGACATATAAAAGCTTTCACTTGACTTCTCAATGTTAAATTTGCAGTTTGATAGGACAAAATAAAATATGTATTTAAATAATAAGCGGGGGCATACCTCTTGTAATGTTATGCATCAGCGCTGCGTTATGCAATGTTCTACAGTTACGAATGGACAGTCAGTCTATCTGTTTGAGAATAATCTCCCTCTCTGCCATTTTGCCAGTAGTAGTCGCCGCTCTGTACATTCAAAATGCTAGTACTATCTAGATATACACCGATTTCATTACAAACATATTCGAAGATGGAAGAAGCAATATGGCAACGATTTCTGCTTTTCCACGAGAATACAATTTATATTTTCACATTTTATTTGTCATTATCATTATGTACTAAACGTTGACAAAATGAATTCTTCTGTAGTTTTCTATCTTCCCGAACTTTCACCAATTATTATGTTATGTTCAAGATTAAGAAATTTTCAATAGTGTACAAACAAAATCGCTAAATAAATAATTAATTCTTTGCAATATGTGTTGCAATGCCAGTGTTTGAAATGGAATTTGGCTGATCAACTTTTTTCCACGTGAATCATATGTGCAGTGCTTGTGTTGTAACATTATGGAACTGGTATTGTCGAACTTGTTGTCGGTAGCGTAGGAGCTTGAAGACACCAGGTGCAAGTGATTACTTAGTTTTGAATGTCTGCATATCGATTTCGATGAGGTTTATCCAATGTATTGGCTTGGTATTTTCCAGAAGCAGGTACACTTGGCTATACCTACGTGAATCACGGTAAATGTTGAAGAACCGAAAACAAAACGGTAGTGAGTGTTAGAGCAATCGTTATAATTTAACGTAAACACTATGACTTTACGTTTTCGATACTGTGAAATTCTTTCGTTTTTTGTGAGAAACAAAACTAAAAAAAAAAGATTTTGACAAGATAATCCAGAAATTTTATTAAGAACAATAATTAACGAAATGTATTCTCTACCGATTACACGAGAATATTACAGAAAAACGATAATTTGCTATATATTCTCTCTATTTTTGCCTGTTATTTGTCTTGAATAATAACTGAAAGAAGTTGAATGAAATTATAAACTATGTAGTGTGTTCAACAACTCATGTATGAACATTAACTTTAACAAATATGATTTAACTTGGTAAAAATACTATATTTTTTCTGAATAAAAGGAATTTCACAATATCAACTGAACAGAAAGTCTTTATTGCAATGTTCGTAATATTACTTTGGTCTATATCGATCACATCATATTACATTATATTGCCAGTTAGCATAGTTATCACTTTATTTATTTAATATTTGGTTGATGTGTTATGTAGGCGTACGTGCATAATAAATGTTTATACTTGAACGGGTCCCTTGCAACTATGTATGAAACGATCAATATAATAATCCCATTGTACACTCATTAGACCGATGCAACTTAGTTAAATAGAGTACCACATAATACTACAGCAAACAGTGATGACATTTTTTGGAGTTAAAGCGTTTCTGTGTGCGAGTAAATAAGATGGTTAAAAGTCTTAGAACGTGCACACAAATAACAATTATTATGTTACCGGGTAGAATCAAAATTCCTGCCGAATAGTTCTTTTGTACGCCCCCCCCCCTAGCATGGAAATAGAATAGACAAAATATCTGTCACATTCATGTCGTACGTAGGCAACAAACTGGGGGAATAGATTCTTTAGACACATGGCCCTTATACAGACTGTCGGTGCAAAAACCCACGAGACCTGGTTCACAGTGAGATGCAGCGGGCTATACTTCCATTCGGATTTAAAGTGGTATATGTAAATACTAAAATTTACAAGGTACAGGCGAAAGCAAACACAGTATTCACGTATGCGGGAGACGGATGCCTGGGTGTTCAGTTCGGCACGAAAGACACGACGTAGCAGCACACATTTCCAACCAAACCAACCACACAATACAAACAATTTTAATAAAAGTAATGATTGAAATTAAGCTATAGAATGGCAAATTTCGATTCAAACCGTATAGCCAAACCTCAAACTCTCCATCACACTCGAACATAAGTCTCGACTGATATCGCCATCACAGTCGAAGTCGGGTATATCATACGATGTAACTAGTATAAACGTTTCACGACCTATGTTGTATATTATTTGCAGTTTAAACACACATGTGCCCTTTGGCGATAGTAAACTGCGAAACTTTTTTTTAGTAACTCACCGTAAATTAAATTAACTGAAACGTTTGCAGTAATTTACGCATGTGCTGTTAAATCGATTTGATAAACTGTGCATCAACTTCAGGGAGTATGAAACAGTTATTTTCATCAATTGTTATTGTTTCTATATTATTCATATGTCCTATAATTTTTATGTATTTAGATTTATTGATTTATTTATTTATTGTAAGTTAATATGGGGAATTGTGAGTAAAATGATCATGCGGCCTAAATATTGCAAAATATTGCAATAGGATCAGAAATTGTATACGATTTCGAGATATAGATAAAATCTGGCGGAGGAAATTGACAATCGCGGCATGTATAAAGTGACAATTAAATAGCAGCGTGTGATCGAAGCTGGATGGGGTGGGTTGGCCTCATATGCCAGCAAGAAATCGTCAACTGCTTGTGCTAACGTCTACCACTGTGTATACCTCGGCAGAGTCGTATGGTACCAAGATATGATGTCGACCGTTTCGAAGTCTACGTACTAATGTTCATTACAATAAGTGACACTGACGTGTTGACTATTG